GTTGTAATGTGACAAAATATGGAAAAGTTCAAGGGGTATGAATACTTTTGCAAACCACTGTAGATTAAAGACCATTTAAATGGATTTCAGTGACATTTGGACAAACTACCTGAACCAAATCACACTTGTCGTGTGTGTGATTTCTCTTTCTCCCTGGCTCCTGGGTTTGTAGGGACACTGTCTGCTCTGTGGTACAGAGTCCTGATCACTCCTAACTTGTGTTCCAGTGGGTGGTGGGAGTCAAACTGCAAATATTGGTCTGTGTGGGTGGGCTTACGATACACGCCAGTTTCCAACCGTCCTCCATCCGAAACCGAGACATCGCAATCCAGGAACGCCAACCTGCCATTTTTTTACATCCTCTCGTTTGAACTTAATATATTCATCCACAGAGTTACTCACCACATTTCCTCGTGTGTGTCTTTATTGTTTTTTATCTTTATTGCATCTTTGTAAAGATGWGGACTAGACTTGTGGATGTTGTACTTCTTGTCTGATGAGGATTGACTCAGGTGCATGAAGTCAATGATATTAATCAGTGCAGACACAAATCTTTGGTCAAAGCTATTTAAATGGTTATTATTCCTTGAAGGTATGCTTATCGCATCTGTCTGATATACAAAAATAAAATTATCTGCAAAACTTTCTCCTTATTTCAGAACTTCCCAGCTGTGAGAAGGGTTTAATTTATAAGAAAGACAAAAAAAAAAACACATTATCATAATGAGAAAATTTGGCTATTTAAAGCAAAAATTGGCAGCAAAATGCTGCCAATAGATCATCAGGATGTCATAAGGCTGCTTTGTGGCACTGCTGTGKTCTTACCATTAAACTTTCTGGCCCCTTGCAGCTGAAGTAGCAGAAAAGTTACATTGGAGTCACAGAGGCCAATCAGCAGCTCTATCAGCTCACTGCAGATTTAAAGTCCTTTGAATCTAAGGGGCAGTGAACGCAGCACTTATAACCTGCTGAATGGAGATTTAAGAAGGAAAAAAAACTATTTTAAAACCAACTTATATCCACTGCTTTGAAATTACCCATATCACGACGAAATAAAAAAACGTATTTTTAACAGTTAGTTTCTCATAAAGAGCGTTGAATATTCAGGGCTAAACTTGTGCCGGCAGCTTCCTGCGGACGCTGAACGCCTCGCCTCCTTTGTCAGTAAAGTTAATAGCTTTGACCGGAGCGTTGGCTGTCGAAACAGCTGCGTGTGCGATTCTTTCTTTCTACCTTCAATATATGTGCTCCCTCCTGCAGACAGCATAATCAGCGAGCACTGATAAAGAAATTGAGTTGTATTAGGACATTTTTATCTCCTTTTGTGTTGTCACATTTATTGCTTGGGTTAGAATGAAATAGAGACGGTGAAAGCAAATGGTCTGTAGCCTGTTTCCTTCACAGTAAACAGCTTAGTCGGCCTGGTAGATTTGCCTTGTTTGCACCAGGCAGATTTAGACTTTCTGAAATGCTTTGTTTTAATTCACAACATGACTTTATTTAAAAATAATGACGAGCAGAACAATCAGATAGAAGTTGCTCCGACCCAAACTGAAACTGTTAATCTGATCTTTAATTAATGCAGAGCAACATTGTTTTTTTCATTTTGTTTTTGTCACACTTAAACCTTTAGGATTTTCAGATGCTGAGCTCAAATCTAGCTGTGTTACTGTTTCATCTAAAGCAGGGGTGGGCAATCCTGGTCCTCGAGGGCCGCAGCCCTACAAGTTTTACGTTTTTCCTGGCTCCAACACACCTGATTCAGTCACTGATTTACCTTCCACTGTATGTTCTGTACTGTGATGGACTTGCGACCTGTCCAGGGT